ATTCACCTTCGAAATTAAATTTTATTTTTCAAAAATTAAGTTCTTACTCTTGAAATTAAATTTTCACTTTCGAAGTTAAATTTTCACTTTCGAAATTAAATTTTCACTTTCAAACTTAAATTTTCACTTTCGAAGTTAAATTTTCACTTTCGAAATTAAATTTTCACTTTCAAACTTAAATTTACACTTTCGAAATTAAATTTTCACTTTCAAACTTAAATTTACACTTTCGAAATTAAATTTTCACTTTCGAAATTAAGTTTTACTTTCGAATTTAAATTTTCACTTTCGAAATTAAACTTTCACTATCGAAATTAAATTTCATTTTCGAAATTAAGTTTTTACTTTTGAGTTTAAATTTTTAATTTCGAAATTAAATTTTCATTTTCGAAATTAAGTTTTTACTTTCGAATTTAAATTTTCACTTTCGAAATTAAACTTTCACTTTCGAAATTAAATTTTATTTTCGAATTTAAATTTTCACTTTCGAAATTAAACTTTCACTTTCGAAATTAAATTTTATTTTTCAAAAATTGAGTTCTTACTTTTGAAATTAAATTTTCACTTTCGAAGTTAAATTTTCACTTCCGAAATTAAATTTTCACTTTCAAACTTAAATTTACACTTTCGAAATTAAATTTTCACTTTCAAACTTAAATTTACACTTTCGAAACTAAATTTTCACTTTCGAAATTAAGTTTTACTTTCGAAATTAAATTTTCACTTTCGAAATTAAATTTTCACTTTCGAAACTAAGTTTTTACTTTTGAAACTAAATTTTTATTTTCGAACTAAAATTAGAAATTTTCACTTTTGAAATAAAATTCAAAATTTCGCTTTCGAACTATCTGAAAAAAGATATCTTAAAAACATTATTTCCTGAAAAGCACAAAGTTGACAAAATAATTAAATTGCAAAAATAGCTTTTCTTCAACTCATCCATAGAAATATTTATTAAATTCTCTCTTAATTAATTTTTTTATTTCTATACAATTTTAATTTAATTAATCCGTCTGGTGTCCGATATAATATCTTCTGGTACAGAGCGATAAATTAAATTCATTCTTTGTTTTCAAAAGATAAATAAACCCATCTTTAATATGAGATGTACAACATTGAATTGAGTTATCGTTAAGCATAACAGCAAAACCATAAAAAATGCACAAGAATTTTTTGAATTTCAAGATAAAAAAAAATTATTTTTAAGAAAATTTCACATTTTTTTTTTTCTTTCATAAAGACGGAAATGAGGAAATTATTTATGATTTATCGTTCATGAAATGTAAACTTTCTCTTCTGTCCCAAATATGCATGCATATATATCTCGTCCTCATAATTTCTGCCAGAATTCTTTCTCATTCTTCGCTCAACCAACAAAGATTTTTTTTTCTCATCGTTTCTGTTATTATTATTGTTAAACTAGTGGTTCCAAACGATAAATTTGTCTATAAAACTTTTTATTTTACTGCTCTTTTGTGAACTTTTACTGCTCATTTAATTACTATCAATTTTTAATACACTTTAATGGTCAATATCGATATAAATTCAAATGTAGGGTAAACTTTAGTTTGATATTGAATATTATTTTTGTAATAAATTAAGAATTAATCGAGAAAAATCCTTTTAGATTGGAAATTTAATTAAAACTTTAGTATGAGATTTTTTTGAGGTCGGTAATTATTAATTAATATTGGAAAAACAGAAATATTACTAGGATATTTATAGGATTGTATTGTCCCATGGACAACATTTTAAATAATCATTCAGGGATCGGTCTCTGGTAGGAATCGAACCTTAGTCTTCAAAAAAGAGGGTTACAAATATCCGACTATATATGGCTGGATATCCCAGATTCCACTTTGCTCCGAGACCACAAGGATTGACTTCACTCTCTCTATTTAGATTAGCTTATATTGACCTTAGTTTTTTGCCACTTTGTTCATCAAACCCAGGACTTAAGGGAAAGCTTTGACTAGAGTTTCTGAATTATCAAGGTAGGACCAAAAACTAAAGTTGCTAGATTTGATAAGAAAATTGAATACTGATCAGTAGGAGCCGTATTTTAAAACTACTCGATAGAATCAGAACTAATAAACCTTCATCTTTGATTTTTAAATCAAATAAAACTGCAAACTAGGAAGAGTCCACCTTAAACCTATTGAAACTAGCCTCATAGCATCACTCATTATTGCTTGACCCCCTTCGAAAATTCTTCAAATAATCAACATCCTCTTAAATCTCAATCCCAAGACTCTCAGCACATTAACCTGCTTTAGAACCACTAGTTGACAACTCAATATGAAAAATAATGCTGATGCTTCTACACTAACAAACATAGTGTGTCCGAGTTTCATGCACAGAAGATGATTGTACATAGTTTATCATCTTGTACTCAAATTCCAAAAAATTTATCCACCAGAAAATATCTGAATTTGAATTTATCCATTTTTTGTAGCTATCTTCGTCTTCTATAGCTTTATTATTTCGTCTTCTTAAACTTAGAAAACTGCTCGCTTCAACACTCAAAAACTATTTTTTCAGTTTTTTAAAAAAATATTTTTTTATACTCATTATTTACAGATTTTCGTACTCAGATAGCTAGTCACATTATATAAACAATTTTGAGATGTCAAAATCAATATTTATTTAATTTTAATCCATTTGTTGACTATTTTGTCAATATTATTTGTAAATTAAGGACTATATTAAGGGGGGTTTATTTATAAATGATGTCCAATAGGAATTAATGACATCTAAGAAAAATTGAGAAAGATAAAGGAGGTCTCAGATTGTGTGGTTCTTCTGAACAAATGCTAGCTATGCCTTCGAAAAACCCAAGAAAAAATTAATTTAAATTTTGATAACTTCACATGAAAGATATTCAATTGGTACAGCCTAGAAGCACCACAAGTCATACTCAAAGCCCTAAGCTATACTTCTAATGTATCTCAGGATCTTTGTTGAATAATGTTAACGTATCTTTTTGATCCCATGAGTCAATACTTTCCGAAATTTGTAGAGTTTTTATAGAACTCAACCTACTCTACCCTTACTTTCTTACTTACTTCGCTGACCGTACAGATCAATTGTAATCCATGGCCTTCCTTAGATGGCGCCTGATGCTGACTTTGTTGCTGGCTTCCGTTTGCCCTCCAACCTACTTTACCCTTCAACAATAAATCGATCAATTGAATGTCTAATTTCGATTATTGAGTAGGATTTCGAGAGGAGACCCAGAGATCAGCCTAAAGAAGTATACCAAAGAACAGTGCTACTCAGGCGCGTAGCCAGGGGGAGGGGGGGATTAGGGAAACAAATCCCCATTCGTCTTGAGAAATTTCTTCATTTTGCTAGAGTTTTTTTTGAAAAACTCGAAAAAATACCAACCCCCTTCCCCCCCCCGCATCAGAAGCATTCGACTTAAATTTTTATATCTTGCAACATTGGAAGCCCTAGTTCAGTACGTCTTGTCTTAAAACTCTGAGAACCAATGAGTCTTATGATAAAGCAAGTAACCAGCCTCAAGTGATTCCTCAAAATTTCAATTTTTATACATAAACATCATTTATGAACAACCCCCAAAAAATATTAAGAATGTCCTCAGTTTGCATTTTTCATAAATATCAATTCTATCGTAAAATGAGAATCAAATTCCCATCATGAGGTTACATTCAGTATACCAGAAATATACATATACTTACACTAGCTATAACGAGGCCATAAAATATAAATAAATTTTTATTCTATTTATATGTAAAGCTCTGCTTTTTTCCAATTGATTCATTCCACTGGCACATTTATCATCGTACATTCAACAAGAAACATTTAATTAAATTTATTCATTTATCATTGAAAAAAGACTCGTCTTTGTTCCTTTTTTCCCCTTTATACTTTTTATATCTAGTTTAAGTTTGCTATCTCTTAAATATCACAATAAAATGCATTAAATGCACAACAATATGAAAAATTTATTTGCTCTTTTTTTTGGTAGCCATTTCAGCTTTTTTTTTTTTTTTGTGGTGGTTGGAAAAACATTTCTGAGTGCTTTTGATTGTTGGCATGTGTGTGAATTGAGCTGGCTTGTTGGCAGTCAAACTTTCCATCAATATAAAAAAAATTCAATTAATTTTTAAAATGTGCTTTTCATTCGATTATTGTTGGTGATTTCTGAGAAAACAGAGTCACGGTTAGTAAAATGTTGTGGAAAAACTGATTTATGAGAGAAAATTGATTTTATTCACTTGATGTTTATGAAGGTTTTGAAAGCTAATCAACACAAACTTTTGTGAAAACTAGTAAGCACTAGTCTAAAAACACTAGAATTGACTCAAATTGACCTTTAAAATCCGTACTCTATTCATAATATTAGCTACACTACTAGTGCATATAGTTTAACATTATTTACCACGCTAGTAGCGCTATCAGTGCTTCCCACATGTTCCGTATTTATTTACAAACTTGTATAGTCCCTTGTCAAGCATGACGGGGAAAAAAATCAATTTTAAACACCAAATTTTACCTTTTTCTTTACCGTTAATTTTATTTTCTGACAAAAACCATTGATAAAAATCCGCCATTTTGAATTTTTACGATACTGAAAAGGGGGCGTGACTTAGGCGAAAATCACTGGAATTACTACAAACATGTAAGAATATTATATAGATAAATAAATCAAATAAAGCTCAACAAACCAACTCAAAACAAATAAATTTACAGGAAAGAAGTCATAAAAAAATATGAAATTTATTTCAAAACAACTTCAAGAAATATTTTCCAATCGCCATTAAAAGCATTACCTTGCTCTAAAAGAATTGTTTGACATTCTTTTCTTCATAACACACTCAAGAATGACCAACAAAAATGCTTTATTACATTCAGTCATGAGTATCTTTAAGATAGAGTTTAGTGACTAGTTCCACAATAGAATAAATTCTCATTTTTATGTTCAAGTATGTCAAATAAATTTTAAAGTTTGTTTTCTTCTTGTCTATAAACTTTCATTCATGTGTATAAAAAGTTATTATTATTGATCTCTTCATCTATACGTTTAAGTTTGCTATTGATATATGATAAAAATCGTAAAAAATTATCATTTATGTCATGAAATAGAATGTGGCGAAATCAGAATGCATGTTCTATCCTTTACATGTCATACTTCTTTTCTTTTGTGTCATTTAGCTGCTTTCACACGAAAAAAAAAACTGAATTTCTTCATCCTTAGATTCTCAAACCCAGAAAATGAGAAAAGCAGAAAGGAATCTGTGTCGACTTGAAGAGATGTAATAAAAAAAATGTCTCTGCTGCTGCTCTTCCAGTTCAAGAAACTTTTTTCATGAATATTTCTTTAATTTAGCATGATGTGATGGTTTATTGGTTGTCATCTCTCATTCTGTGTGAATTAAAGAAGAACAGAAGTTGAAATTAGAACAAGTGGTGCTCTATATAAGTGGAATAGATGAAAAAAATGTGTTACTATAGTTTAGGAAGTGGAAGTATTTGATTAAATGGAAATAAGATTGTTGAATTATGTTAAAGTTCTAAGTTTTAACCAAGTTTGAACTAAGTTTTTGGAACATTGAACCACATTTGATAGTGGTTAATTTGATAGTGGTTAACTCAAAAGTTCAAACTTAATTGGTCAAAAATTGAAGCTAGTTGCTCAAAAATTGAACTTGGTTGCTCAAAAGCTGAATGTAGTTGCACAAAAATTCAACCTAGTTGCTCAAAGATTGAACTTAATTGCTCAAAAATTGAACATAGTTGCTCAAAAATTAAACCTAGTTGCTCAAAAGTGAACCTAATTGCTGAAAAATTGAACCTAGTTCCTCAAAAATTGAACTGATTGCTCAAAAATTGAACATAGTTCCTCAAAAATTGAAATGGTTACTTAAAAATTGAACCTGGTTGCTCAAAACTTGAACCTAGTTCCTCAAAAATTGAACTAGTTGCTCAAAAATTAAACCTAGTTGCTCAAAAATTGAACTTGGTTGCTCAAAAGCTGAATGTAGTTGCACAAAAATTCAACCTAGTTGCTCAAAGATTGATCTTAATTGCTCAAAAGTTGAACAAAGTTGCTCAAAAATTAAACCTAGTTGCTCAAAAATTGAACCTATTTGATCAAAGATTGAACTTAATTGCTCAAAAATTGAACATAGTTGCTCAAAAATTAAACTTGGTTGCTCAAAAGTGAACCTAATTGCTGAAAAATTGAACCTAGTTCCTCAAAAATTAAACTGGTTGCTCAAAAATTGAACATAGTTCCTCAAAAATTGAACTGGTTACTCAAAAATTGAACCTGGTTGCTCAAAACTTGAACCTAGTTCCTCAAAAATTGAACTAGTGGCTCAAAAATTAAACCTAGTTGCTCAAAAGTTGAACTGGTTGCTAAAAATTTAAATAATGCATTTCAAACTCATCCACAACCCCCGAGTCATCAAAAACCAAAACTCAAACCTCACCTCTTCCTGCGTCGGCAAAAATACTTTCGGATTCTCCAAAATAACAACTCGATTCGGTCTCGTACAAGTTGAATGTCTCGATGTCACAGTTAATGACGTTGTGAATGTTCTCATTGAGTCATAATTTTGATGAAGATTTCGAGGTCCGCCTCTCGTCCTCCCATTTGTAAATTGACTTTTCGGTAGCTCCTTTTTCTTGCAACAGCACACTCTCGAAAGCCATAGAAAGGGAGCAGTACGTCTAAATATTTGCAATAAATTTTTATGGAAGAAAAATTCTTTATTTGCTCTTTAAAGTCAACAGCTATAGAAAAAAATGAAATAAATACCTAAAAGTCTTCCACACTTGAGCGGAAAAGAGGCAATAAATCAATGGATTTGCAGCTGAATTAAGCGGTGCAAGACTCTGTATGAAGGTCGCAATCGCAATGTTCGTTTGAGTTTTTGGTATTTGATCAAAAACTTGCAATAAATCGAAAATGATGTATGGCGACCAGCATGCAATAAATACTATCACAATCACAAATGTCATTTTAACAGTTTTCACTTTGGCACGTGGAATAATTCCTCGAGAGCTCGCACGTCTACTGCCCTTGTCATCATCATCCGCATTGCCATTTTTGCCATTCTTTCTTTTATCTTTCGTACCCATGTAAGTGCCTTTCTCCCAAATTGTTTTTACAATTATCGCATAACATAGTGAGATAATCAAAGCTGGTATTATGAACAGCACAATAGATACAAGTGTCATGTACAGCTGCCATCGCCATGATTCACCAAGCTCTATCCAACATTGTGTTCGTCCTTTTTAGCAAATTTTAATACATTATGAAAATTAAATTAAATTAAAATGTAAGTCAGTCTTACTATACAGAAAATTCATTTACCTTGAATGAGCGTTTCCTCATACAAAAAGAATTGTGGAGTGGAAAATAGAGCACTCATGATCCATGCACTGATAACAAGCATTTTCGCTCGCTTCCATGAACTAGAAAAGTTCATTGGATGTGTTATTGCATCATATCGATCGATACTGAGTGCCACGAGGACATACGTTGATGCGTATGTGACTAAACATTGAATGAATTTAATAAATTTACATGCTAAATTGCCTGCCTGCCATGTCACTGTGATACGCCATATAATGTCTGTGAGAACGTTCAATAGACCAACGCTTAAATCTGTGGATGAGAAAAAATACAGCAAACAATTATTTTTAGTTGCAGGGGTGTCAAAAAGCTTCTTAATAGGGTTTGAAAAACGAGATCAAAACTGGCAACACATGCATCTTCTTTAGTCGCACAATAATTCTAGATTTATAGTTACCCTAGACCAGGCGCGTAGCCAGGGGGTGGATTTGGGGGATCAATCTCCGTTCGTCTTGAGATATTTCTTCATTTTGCTAGAGTTTTTATGAAAAACTCGAAAAATTTCCCCCCCCCCCCCCCTCTAAAATTCCTGCCCTAGACATCCACTTACCCTACCCTATGCCCTATGCCTAACCTTAGACCTATGCCTTTTATTTTTTGATTAAAAAATAATTCTTATCCTCCCCCCCCCCCCCCCCCTCACCCCTCATACGCCCTGGAATAATCATATTGTGTCACAAATATTGCATTGTTAGAGACACAATCATCAGCCTTATGAATGAGAAAGTATGAAGGACATTGAGAGGAAATGAACGATGCGCATTTTCTCATAATCATTTTGTTCATAACGTTCAGTAGGCAAGTTTACTGTCAAGGTAATAATAAATTATTCCTCAAACGAGAAAAGACATAGAAATAAAATGTCTTATTTATCATTACTCGACGAAAAAGATTTTTTTTTTTTTTTATCTTGTCATGGATGAATTTATGATGATGGATAAATTTTATTTACGTTTAGAGCAAATAATTTAGCTTGGATTGTGATAAAGCGTTTGAGGAAGAAGAAGATTTTGGCGTGATGAAATTTATGGATATTTTAATGAAACTGAATCTTGTGGTTCTTATTTGACAAGATTTTTGCATTTATAATAAGCGAGTTGTGGTGATGAGGGGTTATTGACCTAGATGGCTATGTGAAGTTTTCATCTATCCAAATTAAAGTCTACTGAGGCCAATAACACCACCATGAGGTCGGAATGCCTTGAATTTATTTTCTAAAATAGGTTCTTTTCACTTGAGTAGTGGTTGTCAACCCTTTTTTCAGTCATGGCACCTTGGTGATAAGATATATGGCTAATCATATGTAAAGCAAGTCAATCTGATATATCGTATTTTTTTTAAAACAAATTTTGGTTCTTTTTTGAAAGCTTTTTTTTTGAGATTCAATTGAAATCACTATTAAGCAGCTCCCATAACCTCACATATATCCATAAAACAATTCATAAAGCTTCGAAGTCAAACAAAGCTCAATTTTTTCAATTATAACTTGGATTCTATAAATTTCCATTTATATTTTCAAAGCCATTGTCAAAGTGTCAAAGGTCAGCCATGGAAACATCGTAACTTTTCCAGTTTTGTAACAATTTTGACACCAAAAAGGAAAAAGTTTTTATCCATAACAACGAGAGATGAGTGGGAAAAACAAGAACAATGAAAATCCATTACGTGTTTGTTTGCCCGCTTGCATTCAATATGTTTTATTGTACGCAAAAAAATACAATGCGGAAGTTCCTCACGAATGCAACAAAAATAAAATATGTAATATATAAAAAGTGATTTATGTGTAAGGGGCTGTTCATAAATGACGTATTTTATGACGTCCATTATTTTAATAGGAGAGGTTTGATATTTTGTGTCACAACTGTTGTGAAGAAATCGGGGTGGTGGGTTTGGGGGAATTTTAGTATTTTTTATAAGAACCCACGCTAGAAGAAGTTTTTGTTGACGATGGGACAGGGCTACGCGCCTGGGACTCACATCAATTAGACCGTTCATAAGTGACATAAGTCAAACAACTGACAACTCTCACCAATCTGATGTATGGATAGCAGCACCCCCTCCCCTTACACATACCCCCACCCCACCCCTTAAGTATTGAACATCATTTAAGAATAATCTCTTACTTTTTATTCAGCAAACAAAAAATTATTGCAATCTGTCTTTTTTTTTGGGTCGAGCACTGTCAAATAATCTTTTTATCTTTTATTGCATGGCTCTGTCTATGCGCGCATTCATTTCTAATTTAGTCAACGTCTTAGCATTATTGCATAATAAAAGTTGCAACATGATATCATAATATTAGGTCGGTGATGTTTGTGGAAATCCCATTTTATTCATATAAATATTTATTGATGCACAAGTCGTTCGTAATTTGAAATAGCTTTGCTAGAATCTGTGCAATAAATAGATGTCTACAAAGAATTCTCAATCCAGCAGGAAATAAAATTATTGAAAACTCTCCACGTTTTACATCACATCATGATGCATCAGCCCCCTTGCTGCGTGCTCCAATTCGAATCATATTACATTTAATTCCTTCCCTAGCTCATATTCATTTCCTACGTTAATAAACGCTAAATGACATTTCATGTATTTCACATTGATTAAGTTATGAGCATTTTCATTAAGAAAGCAAATCTTTTATAGATCTTATGACACACATAAAGTCTAGAAGCATATGGAGACTGGCTTTTCTTTGCTAGCTTTACATGCTTTGACTTTTCAACTATGCCTTCATATGTACGATTATTGTTTGGAATTAAGGTTATTGGAAGTAATGTGTTGCGTACTTGTTATTCAGATGATTGAGTCAAGCTTAAAGTTGAGTTTTTGGAACTTTGTAAGGTACAAGCTAATCAGTCTGGGGTAAGCGCGTAGCCAGGAGGGTTTTGTCCCCCTCTTAAGCGTTTTAGGCCGTGCTCTCACTGCGGTTCAAAACGTTTAAGGGGGGACAAGACCCTCCTCGCTACACGCCTAGTCTGAGGTATTTTTTTGTGTTTCTCAGGCGACTTGAAATATGATTTCATGTGGATTTTTAAATCGAGTTTATAAGAACAGCCTGCATTTGAAGATGGGACATGAGTATGAGTTCTCCTCCAAAAGGTACACTTTAACTATTCTAAATCCTGAATGCAACAATCAAATCACAAACTAAGTTCCTATCCAAATTTCAAGACCGAACAACCGACAGCCTTGACAACAACAACAAAAAGTGCTTATCATTGTCACATAATTTCCATCCAAGCCCATATTACATTACTGACTATCTCCTTCTAAACTAATTTACTTAATGTCAAACGACATAAAAGACAAGAACAAGCTTTGTTTCGCATGCAACAAGTAAATCAAATAAAATTCTTTCAGCACCCCCCACACCCTCATGTATGAAATCGATATTGAATTTAATGAAAAACGTGAGAAAATGTTGGAATCTTCTCGACTTTAAAATTAATTCTACTCGATGGTTTCTACCTTCATTTACCTTTAGTTTCTTCATACCTTACGTCTCTCAATGTATAGTGATGTAAAGTAGAAGGAAAAAAGGCAAACGATAAAACTCACCTGCAATTGCTAAGTGCTTGATGAAAAAATTCATTCGTGACTTTCTGTTTCTATTGATGAATAACGTTACAAGGACTGCTGTATTTCCGAGAACAATGATGGCAAACAGTATCCAAAGGACTGTGAATTGCTCAGTCTAGAAAGAGAAAAGAGAAAAAAAGAATGAAGAAAATGAGAAGCGAAAGTAAAACTATAGCGTACAAAAAAAGCATCGTTTCATGCTTGAAGAAATAAATATCGACATGAACGGAGAATTGACGTAGATATGGTCAGTTGAAGCTACTGACAAAGAAGCTTTTTCCCTGACGTAGCTTTATTTTAGGTTATTAGGTTAATGGCACAATAGCAAGTATTGCTAACCTAAATTCAGCATTAATTTAAAAGTCCTCCATTTTCTAATCCGTTGTAGGTTTTTAGAACCGCCAGAAAATTCGACAGAACTATTTAAAGGCTCGGTCAATCTCGGATCTATTCTAGGGCACGTTGCCGTGAATAAAACCTAAGAAGCCGGCTATAGATCAATTGATAGACATATCGGCAGTTACATGTGAATCAAACTATATGTAGATAGACCTAATATAGAGAACCACAGATTGAAATGCGGACTTATGGACAATAGGGTAGATTGAATTATAGTTCGAACCTATGTCATGTGGTTGAAAATCTAATTTTTTGACTGTAAGATCGTTCTTTGATGAGAATTGAACCCTCGTCCTAATGAAAAAAAGGTTTGACTTATTAAATCTGTTGCCTGATCACTGTTCACAGATCACTAATCTAGAGACTGATGGTCAAACACTCAAAATGACTAAATCAACTACTCCTTGGCTTTAAAGATGCACCTAAAAACATATAGAACAAATATAAGCAATATATCTTCTTATTGAAGCTGGAAGTATTGCAATAAATTTCTCGTTCACTTCCTGTTACTTTAATGCTCATTGATTTGAAAAGAAAATATGACATAGAACTTTCTTAACGTCCAGCACTGCTCCATGATGCGAATAATGTTGCAAAATGCTTTTCTTTTATTCTTCATCCTTTAATGGATCAAATGAAATATGAGAGAATGTCTTAATGTCACTTAAATGTTCTTTAATATAATTCTGTTCTGTTTATAATATTCTTTTGTGCTATAAAAATATTCTTGATGGATGAAGTAGTCATTTCATGTAAAGATTACGATAGCAACAGCAAGATTATTGTTGGATATTTTAATAAAAGTCTTGCATGGATGAATGCATTTAATTATGAATTTTTGTGTATAGGATTTGCTTAATCTTGGTCTTTTGACATGAGTTATGAACATTTTAATTTTGGTTGTGGTGTCTTATTTATGTTGTAGTTTCTGCTGCTTTAAATTGATCATTCATCAATGACGTGTAATATTTATAGAGTGAGATGGATTGCATAGTGTTGGAGTAAAGTCCAATCTGCAGTATTATGTAGGCCATATGTAGGCTGATCTATTAGTGCAAGCATTAGACCTCTGTGGCAGAGTGGTTAGGCAGCAGACTGTATTACTTAAACCCTTTTTAAGGAGGACGATGGCTCGATTCTTATCAAAAATCGATTACATGATAATACTGGCTACATTACAGATTGTTATCTATGTAAGAATACATACAAAACTGAAAACTAAAGATTAAATAATCAACAAATTGGAATCATCTCTTTTAAAGTCTTTGACCTCTCAAAACAACAACAATCATCCCAAAATTGATCGGAAACGTCCAATATAATTGATATCACAATACTGATTTACAAAGCAATTTGTTATCATGAAAAACTGGAGTTGTCTAAACATTCGTCAACATTAAGCCTTATGGATTGTTGTGACAGTTCAAGATAAATAGTTTTTTAGTTATGTACATGAAGATGAAGATGTAAGAACAGAATTGTACACATAAGAAACTATCTATACAACTCTCCCGAGATGAGAAAAGTTTTAATAATCTTATAGGGTTGGGAAAGTTTGTGACAACTGTTGAGGACAGAGCTGTTGAGTTAATATAAAGTATGGGACTGTTCACTTATTACGTAAAGCATAAAAAACACTGTTCAGTCCTCCTGCTTCCTTTTTACAAGTTTTCCATAAGGGGCTGTTCACTTATTACGTAACGCGAAAAAATGACTTTTTAGACCCCCCCCCCCTCGTAACAAAATTTGTATGAAAAAAAAATTTCCTTGTTTGAACCGTAACAAAATCTTAGACCCCCCTCCCCCCCTAAAAGCGTTACGTAATAAGTGAATGGCCCCTAAGAGAAAGCCTTGGTTTTGATTTAACAATATTTTTAATTTTTAAAAATCAATTAAGATTTGAACTTTTGTCTTCTGACATGAAGTTGCATAATCTGGAACATCCTGCACTTTCCAACATAATCTATATTCTTTAAAAAATATATATATTCTAAACTACTAACAACCAATCAGTTTACTCTATCCCATCATCTTAGTTCCATAGAAAAAGCTGACAAGTAAATATATTCCTTATAATCAACATCGTCCACTTCTTCTAAGTTTCAAGTCCTCAGGCGATAAAGAATGTATTCTTGGTGATGAAAAATGCGGATATAAGCCCTTCTGAGGGATAGAATTTCTCCATTTTCCAGTTTGGGAGAATGTATCCTTTTTTATTGGACATTTGCATGATGAAATTTGAAAGTTTTGTAAATTTATTTTGTTGCGGAAGGATATGGCATCTGCAGGAACAAAATATCCCTTTTTCTTAGTTCTCATCCATTCTCACCCTTTTGGCGACGTCCTTGAATCTTCCTCATTCGTAATGTTATCAGATTATTACCACATCGACAGTCAATTCATTTCTCCAAGTCTCAGTCTAATGTGATTGAGCTAATTTTTTTTTCTTTATGTTCTGCTCAATAATCTTACATTTCTATGGATAGATGGTAAATGAAAAGAAATCACATCAACATCCATTTCATACAGTTACCACAAAAGGATAGAAAAAAAAGTAATGGATAATAAAGAAGGAGAAGAAAAAATGGAAATCAAAAAACAGCTTAAATCAGCACTTGATTGAAGTGCCGAAATGTTTACTAGATCCAATAAAATACCCACTCACTTATTCATTGATATTCGCGCTGAGGATGAATAAAAATTACAAAAGTCCTCGTGTTATTGATCCAGGGACGTAAGCGCATTTTTGTGTTGGCGATCAATATTTGATTATCTAATTATTTTGCGTTCACTTACAGATCATGAGAAGATTAGAAGATCATTAATTTTAATGTAATTAACAAATAATTACAATTAATTTCCAACGGTCAATAAATATTTGAAATTGTAGAGGTAATATTGAAATTATAGAGGTAAAATAAAATTTGGGGAGGTTACACTGAAAAAAAATCATTAATTATAGCACAAATACACTGTTTGAAGACTTTAATACACTCGATGGGCCGATAAATCGATAGTAACAAAGCTAATAAAACAAACCCGAGCTCTCTACGATGTCTGGTTAAAAAGTTTTTCTACGCCCGAATAGCCGAACAAAGTGCAATATTAAGCTACCCTTTAGAAACAAGTTTCAAAAATGCGCTAAAAAGAGGAGATGGAAAAAGTTTTTGAATACATTTTTACCCATTTGATTGATTTCCGTGAATCTCGACTTTTACTTTATCTTGTTTGGATGTGGCCACATCAGTTCCATCATCATGTCTTGAAAAAAAGTTCTTTAACGATACCCAAATGAGTTCCTTAGAATAATATACATTAAGTAATGTCGTAAAAATTATTAGATTTCATTTTTCATGACAAAAAAGCCTCTTGAAAAAATTATGAAGAGAAATTGTCAATGTCATGAGGGCATTTGTCAATGGAATTGGATGAAAAGTTTTTTGTGGAAGTTGAAAAATGTTGTTTTAAAGTTATTTTTACTGTCTTGAAAAATATTAAACTCAAATTGAAGCTGCTTTTTATTCAATCTTTGTTTGAACGAGAAAATACCAACTTTCTTTAATGCTTGAGATAAAATCAGGAGCCTAGCCAGAAATTTTTCGAGTTGGGGGGGGGGGGGGGGGGGGTCATCTGAAACTAATTAGGTTGCTGAGGAGAATCTGGCAGGTCTAGCCATAAGAACTTTTAACAAATGCTCATTAAATCTTTTGCTTCTCAATTTCAGATTTCATAGACTCCATAAAACCTACAGAGAAATCTGAAATGAGCCACACCTACCCCCCCCCCCCTCCTCTACTCATTCTAATGTTTTTTGGATCATTCAGCAAGACGTAGGAGGATTTTTCAGTTCAGAGATTTCAGATTATTCATGAAGAAGGGGGGGGGGGGGGGTATTAAATAAAATAAAGAATTCCAAAGATATCAGAAATAAACCTTCTTTAAACAATTTGTTGATTTACGTTCAAAGTAATCATCGACATCAAAACAACCTACATCTACATTAGAAAAGTATGAATCACTATCAATACCAACCCACAAGACCACATCCTCACATGTCAAGGAGCTTAATATTACTCCATAATTGAAAATATGTTTTAATTATAATTTTAAATTTATCACAACAGAATTTGTAGGAGGAATAAATAAGTCACTTAATGAAATATATTCATTACTTTAGCTTCATCATGTAGCACATGCAAAGTACTCTTAAAGATATCATTCATACATGACAGAATGAAGCGTTTGTGAAGGAAAAGTTGATGACTTTTAACAATAATTAAAATGGGTTGAGTCACGATAATGTTATGTATCAAAGCGGCAAAAGCATCAAAAAAAATGTAGGAAGTCTTCATAAAATTGCGGTTATTTTTTTTATGTGCAAAAAATCTGCGATAATTGCACGTTTTTCATCCTCAACGCTCTTCAACCCAAAGATTGAGTTTGCATCATGATATGTCAGCAAAAAGAAAGAAAGCATAAAATTATGAAGGGCATTGAGGAAAAAAAAAATAGCCACCAACATGTGCGGTTGTGGATAACACCAAAAATATATACATCATCATTAAATTTCATTCTGTTCCTCTTTAGTAAGTGGATTTCATATTCAGAGTGACAAGTTTTTGTCATGGAATATAATAAAAAAAAAAAATAAAAGATGAAAGACTGACTTTGTCGTGTGAGTTGACTCCCTTTTATAGCCATTATTTATATCTATCT